TCAGAGTCTCTTCTGTCATCCACTTTGGTCTTCTCTTCTTTTCTTGTCTTTTTAGTGATCTCTTGCTTTCTTCATGGATAATGTTCTTGATATCTTCCCGTAATTCATCTGGCTTCCGGTCACTGGTGTTCAATGCATCAAATCTATTCTTTAGATGATCTCTAAATTCAGGAGGGATATATGATCTCTAAATTCAGGAAGAGAATAAAAATACTTTCCTAAAATACTTCAGTTTGCTTATCTACAGAGTTACATAACATTAGGCCCACCAAACAAAACCAAACATACTGCCATGGAATTGATTCTGATTCATAAAGACCCTATAGGACAGAGCAGATCTGACCTATAGGATTTCGAAGGCTGTAAATATTATGGAAGAAGATTGCCTCATCTTTCTCCTCTGGAGTGGCTGGAGGGCTTGAACCACTGACCCTTTGGTTAGCAGTTGCATGCTTTAACCATCGTGCCACCAGAGCTCCTTATAACATCAGGCAGTAGCTATTAATTTCAATAAAACTATAGCAAACATTTTTAAAGTTTTTGATTATAGTGCAAAGCCAACATTTCATTATCAAATCATTAGTCAGACAATGATGATGAATCCAGTCATCATAGGAAAAAAGCAGGCAGATCACATTAAGCTTTTAGAGAAAGGGAAGCCATGAAGAATAGTGAATTCTGCCAATACAAACATACAAAATCAGTACAAATAACAAAGACAAAACTTAATTTTCTACTATTACTCTACCTCCTAACACAAGCTGGACTAGTTACCAATTAAATCAAAAGTGTATAAACTTTGTTTAGTCCATTAGTAAATATTTACAGAGAGGGTACCCTGTGATCCAGGGCCTAGGCTAAGCCCTGGAGACATGAAGATGAAAAGACATCCTTCCTATTTTCAAGGAGCCAAAAGCCTTGGCAGATAAATGTATAAATAAACAGTACAGCCACAGTAAGATATTTGCTTTAGTAGGGGCCCCTTGCCCCCAGGACAATTCCCTCCTAGAACTGGTCCTCTCAAGCCAATGCACTTTGTAGGGAGATTTTTTCTGTCAAAGAGAATTTGTACCCTAAATTATTTGAAGCCATTATAAGTTATAGAGACAAAAGATGATGCAACTTGATATAATGCAGCATTTTGAATTTAGGTGCAGTTGCTTCATTTAAATGATCAGGGTGTGATTTGCTTTAGCAATATGATTTAAAAGGAGTGAAGGGTTCTTCTGGTCAGCCCCTGAATGCTGGTCACTCTCCACAAGAGTATTAGTCCACTCAGCATGCCTCTAAAAGAAAAGGCTACATGCTAGGACAAATCAGCATCCTAGTTACGCTCAGTTGTTAAGACTGCTGGAGCTTATTCAACACAGCCTACCTACCTAATCAATCTATCTCATCTCCCATGCCACACCTGTGATTTCCTGTTCACCATAATGTTGTTGTTGTTATGTGCCGTTGAGTCAAACCCGACTCATAGCGACCCCTCCTTGGGTTTCCGAGGCAGTATCACTACGGAAGTAGGATTGCCCAACCTTCCTTCCGAGGAGTGGCTGGTGGGGTTGAACAGCCAGCCGCCTGGTTGGCAGGCAAGTGTCTTAGCCACTATGCTACCAGAGCTCCCGCTCACCATAATAGGCCTACCATAATAGGCTTCTCTTATTCTGAAATGCGGGAAGGATGTAAGATTGGTTACAAAGGCAGATACATTCAACAGAGTATGTTGTTGTTGTTGTTTGCCGTCGAGTCGGCCCCGACTCATAGCGACCACTCCTTGGGTTTCCGAGGCAGTGTCACTATAGAAGTAGGATTGCCCAACTTTCCTTCCGAGGAGTTCAAACCCACCAGCCTTCTGGTTAGCAGTCAAGTGCCTTAAGCACTATGCTACCAGAGCTCCCTAACAGAGTATAGGAAATCGAAATGCTTCACACCCGATGGTAGTTTCTAGTTTCTTTGTGGAAAGAGTATCACCGACTAAAAGAGATGAAAGAATACCAGTTGACTACAATGCTGGAAATTCACTTTGTTTCCAATATGAGAGCATATTCAAATATTAGAATAAAACTTAAGGAGCTCTGGTGGTGTAGAGGATAAAGCACTTGACTGCCAACTGGAGGTCAGTGGTTCAAACCCACCATTTGCTCTGTGGAAGGAAGACAGGGCAATCTACTTCTGTAAAGATTGATAGCCTCAGAAAACCCAATGGGGGTCACTATGAGTCAGAAACAATTAGAGACATTATTGGCAAAATTTACTTTGTGTTTCTAAAATGGTGATTATTTGTGCTTTTCAACCAAACTGTAGCACTATATTCAGTATTCAGGGTGTAACCTTGTGATTTAGTTCATAAAACAGGTGATCATTTCTCAATCAGCTTAAGATCTTCATATATTCTTTTTTGCAATTCCAATACTTAGCCCAGAGTCTATTACACTACCCTGTTTAACACCATCCTGGGCTATTACCGACTGAATCAGGGTGTGTATGAGTACTCATCAAGTATTCTTTCTGATGCTGGAAAGTCTATTGGCTGGGCTCACAGCACTTGCCCATCTGAAGGGATAGAGGCTGAATGTCAGGCTATGAAAGCCTCCATTGTACCCCTGGCCCACTGAGATGTGAAACCACATCAAAAGTCAGGAAATAGACTTTGCTTCCATAAGACCACAACCAGCCTCCTGTTATATACATTGAAAGATATTTCCCTTAGGCCCTGGGTAAAGGTATCTGGAACTCTCTTCAATGTAACTAAGCTTTGAAACTTAAAGGATTTTTTTTTAAATAATTCTGATAACTATTCTCAAAGCATAAAATAATTTTTTAGAATTGAATGGTTTTTGGCTTGAATAATGAAATATGTGCAATTTGCATGGAACCACAATACATAAAATCATATTAACTAAATGGCAAATGTTAAGTTCATTCATTACTGTGTGTAATGGGACATTTCAGGATTAAATAGGACAAGACAAGAAGAAATGTACACGTTTTTGCACATCATATTCATGTATAAGCATTTCCTGTATATCTCTTATATAGTTTGATGCATATTCAATAAGTATTTCATTAGCTGTCTTCCATTCTAGAAGCACTTTTCAGCTCTCATGAACTCACCATGGCTTTGCATTACAATTATTTAAGACTTACCTTGACTAACTAGGGTAGTTATTTGTGGAAGGATACCAAGTCTTATTTATTTTTGAACCACCGACCTAGCTTAAAAATGCGTATTTTCAAGTGCTATAATTATGAATTAAAATGGGCTAAAATCAAGGATATTTCACTATGGACATTGCTGAAAAAATATATATACAGTCTGCATGTTATAGATTATAGGGCAGGGTAGAATATATTACATTAAAACAGAATTAAAATTTGCATTTGTGCCCCTTAAATTCTATATCCAGTCTTAACTTGAAATATCAATTATAAAACTATTCTCTGCATTTCAAAAACATTTAAAAATAGAAACTGAAAATAGTGTTTTATCAGTAAGACAGACCTATCTCATTAAAGCCACTGTAGCCCAGCTCTTGCCTGCTAAGTCCCAGATCTTCAAGGTCCATGCATTTAAATCCTGGTGGGCATTGGTAGCCTTCTTCTAATTCTGGTGAGCAGTGTGTATCTGGAATAGCTAAACTATTCCAGGTTACATTTCTGTGAAAAACACATGAAAGGGTTAGACATTTCAACAATTGTAAACACTGATTAAAATGAATAATGTAACCACTCTTCATTGATAACTGCTGTATGTGGGCATGGATTTAAGGTTCATGACTCATGAATGGCATTCTAACATTAATGACATTTAAGCATTTTCAAATGATACCTGATTCATCCTCATAATAGCTCCTTGTCAGAATAGTATCATTTTATGTTCTAAAAGACTAAGACCCAGGTAAGTGGAGGAAGAAATTTTCTCATAGATTTGCAAGGAAATGTTTACTTGTCTAGGGATTCCTTAATACTTTCAATGCATCTCCTACTGTGGGCACAAACTTTAACTTCTCCACTTGTAAGTACTGTTAAGTGATAATGGTCATTTTCTGTATGGTACACATATTATGAGGCTCATAAATTATTCTTGGTTTTCTGCTGTGTTGTAGATGAACAGTTTAGGAAGAAAACCAGACATATCAACAGAGTTTAAAGGAACTAAAGACATCACATCAGAAAGAGAGATTATGAAGGGATTTAATGATAGTTTCAGGAATATTAAGGTCCTTTAAGTGGATAGTGACATAATTCTTTTTCATCTCTCTTGAGGACAGATTGGAGATTAAGTTGATGTAGAAGGATTTAGATACGTAATAGTTTTCCTATTACATATCTAAATCCTTCTACATCAATTTAATCTCCAATCTGTCCTCAAGAGGTTGGGCAATCTACCTCCGTAGTGATACTGCCTTGGAAACCCAAGGAAGGGTTGCTATGAGTTGGGTCCAACTCAATGGCACACAACAACAGCACAACAATAGTTTTCTTGGTAGTGAATAGAGGTGATTACTCTACTCTTTCTGGATATGGGATCTTATTCGGGGATGACCTGAAAATGGGCCCAAAATGGCTGCTATCTGAAGTAATTCATATGTATTGTGCAGGCCAAAGTTAGGCTAGATAATTTCTAAAGCCACAATTTTTTTTTTTTTTTTTGAAGAGAGAAAGCAAAAGGTTTATTGAGTATCAATACCCAAAGAGACAGTAAGAATCGTTTCTCCAAAATATCTGTCTCCTAAAGCCACAATTTTATAGTTGCCATTTCTCAATGCATCAATATTTCTACACATGTCCTAAATGGGAGCAAGCCTAGAACCAGTCCGGTTCCATCGATTTATAGCAAAAATGAGGCAGAATTGTTGGGTCACATTATTTTTCTTGAATACCTTCTTACATTCAATTTGGCTGCTTCCTTCTCCATATGTAATATACTTTTTCTAGAATCTAATATCTAACTCCTTGCAATTTCTTAGTTTCTCAAGGCCAACACACACACACACAAACACACACACACACACACACACATGCACATGCGTATAACATGCCTGGTGATCCCTGGCTCAGTTTTTACTCAGTCATTAACAAAGCTCTAAAACCTTGCCCATAATTCAGATTCTGTTTATTCCTTCAGTTCTCTGTCTTCTGTTAGTTCCAAGTACATTAATTTGTCTATAATTCTTGAGGAATAAATGGTTAAGTATTTGCTCCTATTAGTCACATTTTAAATTAATCCTTTGGACACAATACACAAAACCAAGAGAAAGGCTCTAAGTGTGGAAATTATCCCCTAGGTCAGTCAGAAAGATATGTTTAGGCAGACATGACACTTATTTATACTCATTTTTTACTCTTATATGTATATAGGCCAAATGATTCAGCTTCATTTAAATCTAATCTGACTCTATGTATCTGGTACCCATAAAAATCAATCAGAGTGGTAAGGGGACTGGGCTTCAGAGTTTCAGAATGTTTTTCTGGTTTGATTTCAGCTCTACCATTTACCGGTTGTGTGACTTGAATAATGTTCTAAGCTTCTCTCAGTTGTTTCCTCATTTATAAGGAAGTGTAATCATAATTGAAAGCAAAACATGTTAAGTATGAAGTAAAGGAAACTGAGTAGCGCTTTAGCATAACAACTAACATATAGCTAGCACTCAGTAAATGAGCAATAATTGTTAATAAAACATAGCATAAATTCTGCCATGTAAAAACACAGTAAGAGAAACTTGTCAAAAGAATAGAATAAATTTTGCCATGTGATAATGATAGTATTTTGTTCAGAGATATTTGCAGCTAAAAGAAAGCTTAATCACTTAAACCAAAAAAACCAAACTCGCAGCTGTGGAGTCGGATCTCACTCATAGCGATCCTTCCTTGGGTTTTTGAGGTGGTTTCTCTAGGGAAGCAGATTGCCCAATCTTCTTTCCAAGGAGTGGCTGGTGGTTTTGAACCACCAGCCTTCTGGTTAGCAGTCAAATGCTTTAGGCACTATGCCACCAGTTATTCATTTATAGATGAGGATGGCATGGTGATGTTCTGAGATGTATACGTTTACCAGTCAATCAAAATGAATGATTTTTTAAGTGGAAAAAAAAATTAAAGAATACAAGCAATGTCTGGGACAATACTTTATCTACGTGGATAGGTTTCAAAATACATCATTTTTCAGTTATTTGGATAGAGAAATTGGACTCTGTAATCAGCTGCCTCAGTCTGAATTCTGGCTCAAGCACTTAGTATACATAAATTTAATGATTCACATCTGTAAGTTTCTTAAAACAGTATTGGGTGCACAAGAAGTGTTAGCTAAGTGTTTCCTATTTTTATTGATTGTGTGGTATCTGTGCACTGTCTAGATGAAACATCCATGTCTACCTCAGTTCCCTAATTTTTAAAATGGGGATAGAACTTGCATCTATTTCATAGGGATGTTTTAATGATCAAATCAGTTAATGTGTAGTGACCTAGTGTACAACACTAAGAATAGCATTGGGAACAAGATAATCAAACCAAAAAAAAAAAAAAAAAAAACTCACTGCCGTAGAGTCGATTGTGAGTCACAGAGACCCCTTCTTGGGTTTCCGAGGTGGTATCTCTATGGAAGTAGATTGCCCACAACACTCAGAATAGCATTGTGAACAAGATAATCAGTCACTCAATAATTTTTAATTACTATGATGCTTTCATTAATTTATAAATATTGAGGTTTTTTTTCCATTTTCATTTCATGTTTTTTTCTTTCAAGTTAGCATTGATCCTCATTTTAAGTGCAACTCTTACCAGCACACATTATTTTGAAGTCTTTTGGCTTCAGAGGCAGTGGATTTGAAATACATTATCTTTGCCAACATTAAGCTATTAGCAAATGCTTATTAGAGACACACTTGTCAGATGATTAATTGTTCTGGAACACATGTATCTAAAACCACATGATAATTACCATTTTTAAAACTGAAATGAAAGATAAGAGTTTCTGAATATATATTTGCTATTTATTTTAGTTCTTTTTTTTTTTCTTTTTGGTTAACAAGGGTCATCTAGATTTTATTTTGATTTGTTACTATAATTTCTTCAATCTTTTTCCCTCAGAATTTAAAACTTGAACAAATGGCTCTCTAGAACTTGAGAGCAGAATTCTTGCTCCAAGCAGGAAGATACTAGATACAGAAAATGATTTGCTCAATCATAATAATTATTCGCTAATGCTTAAGTAGATTTCAAGACCTGTATTCTATCTTTCTCACAGTCAGATTTCTTTTCTTTTTTTAAGTATCTACCTGTAATCTCTCTAATTTAATTTTTTGGCCCATTTTCATGATCTTCAACCCATGGGATTGCTTTTCTTTTCATTGATGTACTACATCCAATTGGAAAAAGTTTAGTTTTTTCCTTCCATGACCTCTCAGCAGTGTTCTACATAGTTGTTTTTTATGGTAGGCAGAGTAGTGGCCTCCCGCACATGTTCATGTCCTAAGCTCTAGAACCTGAATATATTACATTACATGGCACAAAGAAATGATGTTTACAGATGTGGTTAAGGTTAAGGACCTTGAGATATAGAGATTATTGTAGATTATTGTAGATTCTCCCAGAGTGCTTAATCTAATCAAATGAGTCCTATGGGAAGAACATTTTTCAGTTGTGATTAGAAATATGCGACAATGGCAGAAAGGCATAGAGAGATGAAATATTGCTAGCTTTGAAGATGGAAGAGGGAGACTGTGAGCCAATGAATGTAGGTGGTGTCTAGAAATTGGAAAAGGCAAGAGAGCCTCTAGAAAAGAATGTAGGCCTGCTGATCTTGATTTTAGCTCCGTGTGATCCATCTTACATTTATGTTTACAGAAATATAAAACATAAATTTATGTTGGGTTAAACTGTGTCCCCCAAAAAGAGATATTGAAGTTCTAACCCCTGTACCTGTGGCTATGACCTTATGTGCACAAGTAATCATTTAACATGGCTGATACTGCACTGGGGCAAGCTATCATGCAATATGACTGGTATCCTTTTAAGAGAAGAAGAGATACAGAGGCACAGGGAAGACAGCCGTGTGGTAACGGAGACAGGGATTGGAGTTATGCTGCCACAAACCAAGAAACAGTTGGGACTCAGTTGGGGGATTTTCCCATATCTTTTTATTACAGAAGCTGTAGATCTTCCCTCCAGTCCTTGAAGAGAGCATAGAGCCCTGCCAATGCTCTAAATTTAAAACTCCAGCCTCCAGAACTGTGAGAGAATACATTTCTATTATCTTAAGCTACCCACTTTGGGGAAATTTGTCACAGAAGTCCCAGGAAAGTAATATACTCCGTCTTTGGCACCTTAAGAAAATCCCAATCTATAAAGTCTTGAAGTTTCTGACTCCCCGTCTATGCTTCAAACAGCCTTTCATACACCTTTTCCCTTGGTTGGTTTTCTCCTAGCCCCTTTTTTTTTCCTTCCCACTTCAGAACTTTTCCTCTGCTTGGAAGCCTTCAGGCAACATCTGAATGCCACTTTCTTAGAGGAGACATTCTGAGTCCTTTAGACTGTGTTAGGTTTCCCTGCCATAACTTCTCAAAATACCTTCACTTTTCATTTCTGGGACAAGTTCAATTCACATTGTGTGGTCATCTGTTCATTGTACGTCTTACAAACTTGACTTCAAGTTTAACTTA